TGTTTTAATTAGTATTTATCTTAAATTCGGTAATCCTGCAATTATTTGAGAACAATGCATGTTTAGGTCTATTTTAATTTCTATGCTATTCCATTTTCTGCTTAATTTTGTTCAATTTACATATTATTACTTATAAATTCATTCAGTTCACTATATATTTTTTTATTTGTGTGTGTGCATGACACCATGTGTAAAGTTGAATGAGGTAGGTATTCGAAATTAGAAAAAAAGATTTTTTAAACCAATTATTCTGCTTCCAAACACTGAATTTTAATGTTTGGGACAAGAAAGACACATAATTAGTAAAAAAACACATTTTTAGTTAGATATACTGTTTAATTTTTGAAAGTTTTTAAGCAAGTATTTTGCATTTACTTAGTTAACATTCTCATAAACAAGACATGAAACGTTATAACCTTGTTTTTTTATTATTAAATCTTAAACAAAGATTACATGTTACTTATACTTACTTGACCATGCATCTGTTTCATTACTTTTCTCGGGTGCAGGTTTTATTTGATATCTGATACAGTTAGTATGAGCTGGGGGTTCCCTTGAGAACATTGAGGTTTCTTAAATTTGTATATTATTATGTTATCAGTTTTCTTCAAATTTAGCATGCTTATTGTAGAGTATTACACTTATCCTACCAAGGGCTTAGAAGTTTATGCACCAATGATTCCTTATGTAATAGGCCTTTATGAAAAAGGACCCAAATTCTGCAAAGCAAAAAAGTAGTTTTGGTTGATTACAAAATATGTTTATTGTTGTGATAATGCTAGATTTATGGATATTTTTTGCTGATAGTAATTTTTGCAGTGTGCAAGCTTTAGAAACCAATTAATTGAAACTGAAGTTTGCAGAGCCATCACACTGCTTCAGGAGAGCCACACCCAGACTGAAGTGGCACAGGTCAAGGAGGTGTCACAATCTGTGATCAGTAGATTGTGGTGCAGATACCAGGACACAGGAATATACACCAGCAAGTGAATACAGAGTTGCAGAAGAGCTACAGGCGCAATAGATGACCGATAGCTGCAGAATTTAGCAATTAGAAACTGCACCAACAACACAAAGGGTCTCAGGAATGAGCTTCAGAAAGCCATTGGAGAGCGAGTATCATACTCAATGGTCAGGAACAGACTCCATGAGGCTGGGCTCAGGTCCAGAATACTAGTTAGAGCCTCTGTACTAACTCCAAGGTACTGAACAGCCTGGCTGGTGTTTTCCCAGGAACATGTCACCTGGGGCCTTTAGTAATGGATCCTTATACCAAGCCTGAAAATAAGTGGCCAGATACAGACAATGTCTGGCATAAAAATCGTGCTTGTCCAGAACAAATGTGTAGGAACTGGACATTCTGTCTGGCATGGTACCCATGGCCAATATTTCAATTTTATAATGTTTCCAAATATTTGGCCAGTTAGATCTGAAAATATTTATATAAGTATGATATTGAATAGAGGGAAGGAAAATCTCATGGAAATGCCGATGGACTGAGTCAAAGACCCTGCAAGAATGACTGCAGACATTGCTGCAAAAGAGAGGTTGAACTAACCAGGTGCCATCAAGCTGAAGTCAAGATGACTGAAATAGTTGATGATGGTGAAGTGAAACCAAATATAGATATCAAAGCAGAACAGGAGAAAGACCAATATTTGAAGCCAATAATTGATTTTCTAATAGCAAGTGTTTTGCGCCCTGCTTGGGAGGTGTCTAGCTTAAGCCCTGTGACAAAGAACTATTGGGCACAATGGGACCAGTTGAAGCTTGTATTATTCTCTGGAGATGGGAAAGTGACGACCTGGCAAACGGTTATACCGAGAAGGTTACGGGAAGTTGTGTTGCGTCAATCGCATGATAGTTTAACAGGAGGGCATCTTGGAGTTAAGAAGACATTGAGTCGCCTACGACAGAGATTTTACTGGATAGGTTTGAGGAAAGATGTGGAAGAATGGTGCAGGACATGCAGTACATGTTGTGCTAAAAGGGGACCCAAGCCTAAATGACGTGCTCCAATGAAGTTATATCAAATTTGTGCACCAATGGAAAGAGTAGCCGTTGACATTGCTAGTCGTTTGCCCCAAACTCGTTCTGGAAACAGGTACATTTGTGTGGTGATGGATTATTTCACCACGTGGCCTGTGGCATATGCAATACCAAATCAGGAAGCTACAACTGTAGCTTTGGCTATTAGTGATTTCTTCAGATTTGGTATGCCATACGAACTGCATTCAGATCAAGGCCATACCTTTGAATCAGCTGTGTTCCATGAATG